CTTTCAACCATGATTATTTTTAGGATTATGATAATCACTTACTGAGTAGCCAAACTCATCAAATTATGGTAAACATTTTTTTCAGGATAACTGCGTTTTCATTTTGAGTGCTCGTCAAGATCAACTCTGAAAGAGATTGTAGTTGTGCTTAAACTATCTTTTGTTACCTTGTAAGAATTCGCCACTGCAAATTTGTCCGATCAAGAAATGTATATATGTTTTGACTGTCACATCTCAGGAATATCAGTATTGTAAATTCTCGGGGTGTGACAGAAACCTAACCCTATGGGGTGGCACACCCAAGCCACATACCCTAGCGCTAGGACTTGACCTTATGCAAATGTGTTGAGCCTTGGTCAAGGGATATCGCATGTTATGCTCTCTAGTGGTTTTGCCTAGGCTTCCCAAGTTGTGAGATGAGATCTTGGACCAAGATCCCGTGTGCCATTGGTGGAGGACACCCGGTGTGGGGTGTACGAAGTCCCTGGGGGCAACTTGAGGCATGGTATAAGGTATTCTCTAGGTTTATACTCTCTTTAGTCCATTGCATCTTTCATTTCTAGACCAGTATTTTTGTTTTAATAGCAAGCAAGTGAGAGTTCTTGGCAATCTTATTTGATTTATATCGTATTTGAACACTTTGTAAGTGACTCGGGTAGCAATATAATAAGAAAAAGATAGAAAATTCTAATTGGTATTGACTTGCCCGGTCAGTCCACCTTTCAACAAACCTAATATCAATTTAACCAAAATTCATGTCACTGAAATTCTCTTTAACATTTTGTTGTCATTAGAGTATGATCTTACACATAGCAATAACTGAAATCCAATATGGTGATGTAATACCTAAGTTCTCGATCCCATGTTAACAAATGGTAATGGAGGGTGATAAAACTAGTCATCAATATAAAAAACTAATCATGAGGGTCCATTACAAAAATTGCACACCTACCTACACTGGTCTGCCTCCAGCACACATGTCCTCATTTTTTACACCAATCACTTAGATTGAGTGACTCCCCTCAAATATCAATTGATGATTAATATAAGAATGTTGTGATAGATTGTTTCCAAAAAAGAAATGCCGCAATAGTTAAGTTCTCCTTTGCAAAGTAAGAAAGAGGAAAGACATTGCCATAAATAATTCCCAATAACTCTCCTATATCAAAGATTGTTAAGCGTTCAAAGACATATACATGAGAGAGACCATAGTTGTTGAGTAGGGGTACGGGATCGAGAATGGTTCCAAGATCGGGGGTGGGATCGGCAGATCGAAGCTATACTGAAGATCCCTATGTTAGGGATCGATGCCCATACAACCTCAAAGGTCGGGATCGAGCTCCTTTATTACATAGGATTGAGAATTATTATATAAAGGTGTGAGATCCTATACGTAAGAAGCGAAGTTTCCAAGGGCATTTTTTTTAGTTTCTTAACTTAGGGAGCATATCACTAAAAGTGATAAAAAATATTATGGAGCGAGGAATAACTTTTATAGGAGCGAGCTCCATTTTCTTAGAACACGAGTTCCTCGTGTAGGTAATGAGGATATGTGACTATCTGTGGCTTTAAAATGTAGCTCTCGGTGTTGATAACCAATAGCATGTAGGCTTAGTCCTTCTATGAAATAAATAAGGAACTTTAAAGCGATCCCATATTGGTGGGATAATGCCATAAATGGTGATGCTTGTGTTCCGTTTGTTTGGAATCTAGATCCCAATGCACTCTGAAGTGCAAACCATAAGACTAGGGAACTAGATCCTGTGATGTTCAAGAACGCGAAAATTGTTAAGGAACTTGTTCCCATATAAGATGGAGAGAGATCCCGAAAACACTAAATTGAGTTTCAGACGAGATCCGCTCCGGGGTCAAGAGAATCGAGGTTCTGCAATGGATCGCCAAGCAAGGGAGGAGATCCCGATAACGATGAGAGAGACCTCACATTTCCACAAATACATGTTATTCCATCACCCATAAGGCAATCTTATGAGTGGCTTGATTTGGTTGACAAACACTCAAGCGATATAAGCCTTTTAGGAGGTAGACAAGACCTAGTGAACTACCTCCAAGGAAGTTGAGCATATTGGCATTCTTCAATTGAACCATAACGTGACTAAGTTTTGTATCTCCTTCCATCTTCTTGCTTCTCTCCTTGTCCTCTATTTTGTCGCCTTTCTTGTGACTTTCTTTAAAACTAGACATAAATCACGATTCACAAGATGTGTAAAGTTGCGAATTGTTAAATATGTAGGAAATCATGGAGTTCAAAACGTTTCTAGGTCATAAAAATTTGGAGGTCCACACTCGATTGTATAAGAACCAAAAAAATGTGTCGGTGAAACTCGCTCCCAAAAAGGCTACGTGATTCCAAGCAGGTAGAATCGCAGTTCCACTTACTCCTGGAACCATTATCTTTGGCAAAGGGATATGGATCCCATTTGATGGGACTGAGTTCCCCAATTTCCCGAATTGAGATCCCAAATATCAAGAAATTGCCCGGAATCGAGATCCTGTATCTCAAAGCGCGGGATCGAGCTTCCAGAGTGGAAGCAACCCCCTCCTTTAAGTTTTTCTTTTACTTTTTTCCTCCTCTTCTTTTCTCCCCTTCTCCTAATATCATCTCTTACACATTTGATGGGCTCAGCCCATGCTCCCTCTTTAGGTCGTTCTTATTTTCTTCTCTTCTTCTCTTTTTATATCTCTATCTAATGTTGTCTAAGTACCCAATCTGTGGGACCGCCTTCTTTAGATTTAGAATAATTGTAATATGTTTATTTTAATGCAGTTAACCTTCTTCTCAAAAAAAAAAAATATGGTCAAGTGTATCACCTTGTGTATAAGATGACAATATCATGTAGAACCAAACATCAAGCATGCCTGAAAATCCTTCAAATCGTTGGGAATTTATGGAATTTTCAGAGTCCTCGACTCCAAATCAACTCAAGAACCTCACTCATAAGTGCCAAACCACAACCTTAAAGTGAATTCAAAGTAGCATAGTTCTAGTCACTCGGCATTCTCTAACAGCTCCGAATGCATTACAGATCACAACAGATCATGGAGACGAATCTCTGATGGAACCTCAAGAATATACACTACGAAAAGATCAAGCATCATTATTTACTTGCATTCACAGCTAAGTGCATCTCCATAGGCTACTATCTCCAAATCCAAAACCTAGAAGCAAATCCTCCAAAGAACATGCCAAAGCATACTAAAAAAGAAGCAATTCTTGTAGTTAGGAGAAAACTCTCACCTGTGTCAAATACTTGAAGGCATCGACAACAGGTGCAATCATATCCCGGTATGCCTCAATCTGCAAAGCCAAAAGTCATAAGATCAGTACAAAAAAATTTCTTAAACAGAAAATCAAATATTATAGAAGCACCACCACAACAAGATACAGTCCTCTGCCCACATTGATATGAAAGCATAATGGGAAATAAACCTAATATTAATCAGGAGCCTTAAATATAGCACTAATTTAGATTGCACAAGCACCACAACAAGATAAGGTCCTCTGCCAATATAGAGATGAAAGCATAATGGGAAAGAACCCTCATGTTAATCTCGCGAGTCTCAAATATAGCCCTAATTTTTATTTTTATTTTTCATTTTGGAAATGTTAACTGTACTGTATTAAGTAAAAGGGATGTATAAGTTACAAAAAATGCTGCCTGCAACAGAGAAGCAATCTTCTGCCACCAAGAAGGTGGCTGAAGCAAAAAATGTGACACAAGCATGAGATTACAGCAAAAAGACCATAGCAGTGTGTCCCCTAGAAAATTGCTTGGGAAGTGCCCTCCTTAGCCGGAGCGTCGGCCACCTGATTGGCCTCGTGCCAAGTATGTCTCCGTAAGACCTGTTTACGCCTGCAAATGTCAAAGATTTCATCAAATACTGCTGTGAGTCTCCATGGGGGGACGGGAGAGGGGGTGGTCTCTCATGTGGCCAGGAGATAACATTCTAGAGTCACCCTCAACAACCAGGACAGTGCTCCAAGAGGGATTGAAGGTTTTTAGGCCCTCCAAATGCACGGGCTCCTGCCGTGGTGGAGTCTGCTAGCCCTATAGGAAAAGTATAGGAGAAAAAAGTGGTGCCTTCATGATTCCTAAAGATACCCCCGACGCCTGCTGGGCCCGGGTTGTCCAAAGAGTACCTGTCAAAATTGAGTTTGGTTTGATCAATTTCCGATGGTCTGCATAGGGATGCACGGGGGACAGGTCTGGGCCTGTGAAGAATAATGGAAGGCCACTTGAGAAGATATCTGGAAGAAAGGAGCTTGAAGTGGTTGTGGTTGGTGGTCCAGAAAATCACCATGGACCTGACTTTTTCTTTCAAGGTCTGCCAAAGGGAAATTTGGCCCTGGAAAATTCTTTGGTTGCGTTCTCTCCAGATTGTCCATAAAGTTGCAGTGACTGATGCCCTCCAAAGTATGACCTCAGACTTGAGCCATGGTAGGTATTGAATTGGGCAGAAGAGCTCAGGCACTGACTCGGGTGCCACCCAAAAGCTCCCAAATAGTTGGCATAGATGTTCCCACAGTTGGCTTGCGGTGCTGCAGTGGATGATGAGGTGTGAGTTTGTTTCTTTGTCCGCCATGCACAGCACAGCAATTGGGAATTTGCATTCCCTGTCTTTGGAGTTGGTCAACCGCCAAGGTTCTCTCCGAAATGGCAACCCAATTAAAGACCTGGGTTTTCAGTGGGATGAAAGGATTCCAAGCTAGGGCTGTACCCAATTGCCGAGTGTGGGGTTCGGCCATAGGGGTGATGAGCTTGTGGCAGAAAGAGGAAACAGTGAAGACTCCCAAAGTAGTAGGGGACAACAGGATCAGGTCTTCACCTTGAGGGGGATAAAGAGAGAGTGGAGGATGGAAGAGAGTTACATAAAGGCTGGGATTTCTTCGTCTCAAAGTTCTCTGCGAAAGTAAGGGTTCCACATGTGGGGGTCCCCTACTGGTGAAAGAAGGTCCACAACCAGGGCGTCAGGATCTCTAGCTAGATGATAGAGGTCGGGAAAGCGAAGCATCAGAGGGAGGTAACCTATCCAAAGGTCATTCCAGAACCTAACTCTATTCCCCGCCTTGGGATGGAAATATATGTGGGTTTTGAAAAGGTGGCGGCAGTGGAGAATGAATTTCCAGAACCCCAAAGAGTAGTAAGGTCTATCTATAGCCCTAATGTTTTAAAAAAAGAAACAATTAGAAGTCTCCAATAATCCTGGAAGCATACCAAATTAAACATTGATCATCTCTGAAGTAATAGTATCATCTTATTTCTTGCTTAGATTCTTGAAACCAGTGTTAGAAAACATGGACTCCGATCGGACTTACAAGGGTCCTGATCATGACTCTGGTTTCACAGACTTGTGCAAGTCCAACCAAAAAATAAAAAATAAAATAATGGGAACCGCCTATACTTGGCTAGTTCCCATGTGTATGGTTCTGGTTCTCAACACTGCATAAAATGGATGTCCTCAATGGGTCTCCTCAAACACCTGAACGAAAGAACTGCATGAACTGAATGGGGCACTTGTCACAGAATAAAGACATGTTCTACAATTGCATATCATTGAGGCACTCATGGAAGACATTGATTAATTGACGTAGACATGACTTACGTACACAAAATGCCTATGAACTAGCAAACCAGCGACAGAGTTCCACAAAACAAGAGAAAACCTTAAGATTAAAAACTTGCCCACGTAACCCCCACAGCCAACACTTGTGCATATGAATAACAATAGGAGTACAAATAAAGAAAAACGTATCTCTCATCTCCTCAGAAATACACAAGACCACCATGGAGTATTGATTGCTCAACCCCCAGAAGAAGGGATTGACAAATTTTTTGATGCAAAGATGGTTGAGCCCCAGATATTGAAACATATGAGATTCTTCAAGGATTAGATTAAAAGTTTTCTAAGAAGGAATAAAATTCAAAATGAATCTATTTGAGAGAATTTAAGTATGAAACCAATAGGCGATAAAATGAGAAAGAGTAGACTTAGGTGGGCTGGCCATGTGTGGCGCAAACATAGTACAACACCTGTTACGAGGTGCGAGTTAGTTCAAGTGGAAGGACTGAAAAGGGCAAGGGGTAGGGCCAAAAGGACGTGGTTGGAAGTAGTCCGAAAAGATATAGTAACTTATGGCCTCACTAAGGATATGACTTTTAATAGAGCAAAATGGAGAACCAAGATTCATGTAGCCGACCCCAATTAATTGGGAAAAGGCTAAAATGATGATGATGATGATGATGATGATTTTTCTCCAATAGAGGTGTTCAAAAAAGTTATTCCATCATAAAACACCTTCGGGTTTAAGTGATTTAGAACTATTCATCACCCTTGAGATTAGTGAAGACTTTAGATTTTTAAATTGCTAAAAGGCACTTCTCTAAATGCCATCATTAAAAAACTGCTAATTTCACAATCATAGTCCAAATTCAGGGAGACATATCGAAGCTAAGACAAAACTATAGCAAAAAAATAAAATAAAATAGAATAATAAAATTGCAGCCAACAAAAGTTTGTCAAGTTTTAAACCAAACAAGCTTTTCCAAAATAAATTTTATTAATAGTAAGAAGCAACAAGTTAAATTTCATAGAAAGGAATGAATGTTCTTACCTGATGAACAATTGTGCGAAGTACAGTCATGGGATTACCATGAGCTATTTTTGCCACCATGCGACCTAGCTGCTTTAGATTTTCCTTAGCAAGTCGTTTCAAAATTCTTCTGGTGTCCAGCTGATAGACCGAGTGAAATCAGCTGAACTAATTCCCCATACAAAAAAAAAAACCGAAAGAGTATGCATATCCATAACATAAAACAATACAAATCAATACTCTCAGAAATTTCATACCCTTGCAGTTTGCCTGGCTGCAAAAAGCAATGGAAGTGATTCATCATCTTTTTCCCACTCTCCATACAGACGGTAACGCACCTAAGTCCAAGAAAAGCACTTAGGTAATTTATTTGCAGCAGATGAATTTCCCATCTGAAAGGCATCATCCAAAGGAATATAATGCTAACCTCATACGGAAGAAGACTCATTAATTCCCATATCTCCTGTCCAACAGCAGGATTTGCAGGTATTAACTGCAATGAAGGAAGTATGCATGACCCAAGAGCCTCCTCCACCCTTGACCTAGCCTCTTTAAGTTGAAGACGAGGATCACGATGATCACCATGAGAAGATCTAGGAATAATTTCAACAAGGTAGTCAACAAGTTCCTGTGCAGATTGATAGTATTTCCTCAATACTCGACAGACCTGTCCATTTCAAATTGTGTTAAAACTTGGCCTGTGATGAAGCCTTTCAAATTATGTAGTCAACAAGCCTAATGGTTTCACCAACATGGCACAAGAGAAAATCCTACTTGACCTTCTGCAGTAGTACTACATTACGATGAAGATATGGGCCAGCACAAGCAAGCATCTGAAAAAGTTCTTTAGGCAAAACAACAGAAGTGCTTTGGCAAGGGGGTTCCCCTGATAGCTCCATGGCATCTGATGCAGAACCAGAAGCCCCCCCAAGAATTTGCAGATGTGATTGATTAATGATATCATAAGTAGAAGAAATCGACTTCTCAATAGCCCTGATATATAAAACAAAGGGCATTAGGAATGGGTTTGACCCCACAGTTGAGGGTAATCACAATCAAGGTAGCAAGTTAACCATGATTATAAAAAATAACAAGGTTTCATAGAAGAAAAGAAGACATGGTAATCAACAGAAATTTAGGTCACTATCCTAGGCAGGAAAAGTTCCCAGTATAAACATAAGAAAAAACTACTGTTTAATGAACAATCCTTAGACAAATTTCATAACTACCTGAACAATCCATTGCATATTTGGATATGCGCAACAGGATTAAGAGGAGCAAGCCGATCAAAGAGGATGTGTGCATGGAACCTGCAAGCAAACGTATAAATCCAAGTTGAACGCAAGAAATAACATTAAACAAACTTGAGGAATAATTGTATACTAACACATGGATGCAGTGGTGACCATCAATAAGAACTCTTTTCTAGACCTTAAAAGTTCCCTTAAATCACATGCCCTGCATGCCCTGGGTATTTGATTAAAGTTTCTAATTTCATGTGGAGTTACTTAATTGTTCTTTGTCAAGAGAATATAATGATACCTTCAAAAAGAATTACTTTGTAGGCTATAAGATTTCTGCTATATCTGTAAGCTAGCAAAGAACCCCAATAGAAGTGCATCCAAGTGCTTTGTGAAGTTGATTTTGAGAAGTCCTATGATCATGTGACATGGGATCTCTAGGAAATGAGTATAATGGGCTTCCCAGCAAAGAGGAGGAAGTGCAATACCACATCCCTATCCCCAATCCACTTCTCATTTTCAATCAGGGATACGCTTTGCATGGGGAGTCACCCTTAAACAATTCAACTAAGTTACACCTCCAAATCTTGTCGAAAGATGTAATTTTGGTGTCGAAAATTTCAACGATGACCCAAAAATCTATTGCACAGCTGATTATGAAATTTAAAACTCAAAAAAATTGCGCAGATCGAGCAGATCTACAAACACTTAAAAATTTTATAAATGGACAGCCGAGATAATGTCGACTTGAAATTCTTTTTTCGTACATCTTCAGGTCGATATAATCAATTGGAGGGGTTTTCAGTATCGGAACAACCTTTTTCGATGGATTTTTGAGGCATGCCTTACTTCTATAGTATAAGGTTGTTATAGGAACTGTTTATAATCAATAATTCTCAAAGGCCCCTTTGGATGCTTGGAGAAAAATTGCATGGAAGAGCCTATTCCCAGTGAAATATATTTGCGAAAAATATTTCCTGTAAAATGAGTTTTTGTGATTTGGATAGCATCTAGATGCAACTTGGATGATACATTTCTACTATTTGGATCATCTCGAAGAAATATTTCTCAAACAAATTCATTGTGTTAGTTTTACTTGTATACGGTAAATTTATCCCACTTCATAAAATCATTGTCTTTTTTTTCTTTTTCTGATTTCTTTTTTTTTTTTTTAAGATCTATTAAAACATGACATGACAAACAACGTAAATAGATCAACACCAAAACCCAACCTCCTCATGTAATTAGAACCCGAGTACCAAGGAGAATTAACCATTTTGAACATAATTAGAGGTTGTAACAGTCTAAGAAACAAGATTTTGTTTCTCAAGCATACCATAAAACCCTCTTTGGGCCATAGGTTAGGCCTCCACATTTGTAATGGTAAATTACCAAGTTATTGTTCAAAACAAGAAGGATGATTTTTTAATATCATGCCTAAACCTTCCGGAATAGAATGATCATCATCCTCCTAAGCTGCACAAATTTTGATAGTTTCCAAAAAACCACAAATTGCATTATCAAACTCAATAAAAATCAAAACATGACAAAAATTCAATGATTTCACATATAAGAAAAGAGAGGAGGGAAGGGGGGGAGGGAGAGAGACAAAGAGAAAGAGAGAGAGAGGATAATTCACTAGAGAGGATGAAGAGAGAGAAATGGAATGCATAGAGAGAGAAAAGAGTTAGTGAAAGTAAGAGAGAAAGACAAAGAACATAGGAAGCATAAAAGAATGAGAGGTGAACTTCCTAAAAAAACAAGACAAACAAACTTCTTTGGTTATTTTGGGGGGGAGGAATGGAAGCTGCAGGTTCTCATTTTTTGAGAATCCAAAACTTCCTAAAGCAAGCATCTTGTAGCACTTCCTGTTATCAAGCACGGAAGTGCTACAATAATGTGGAACTTCCAGCTTCTACAGCTGGAAATTCCTATTATCAAATGTGCCCTAAGAGGAAATGTTAAAATATTTACTAGTACTCCAAACTCAAAAACAAAAACAAAAACAAAAACAAAGAAAGAAAGAAAGAATACCAGTCATCCACATCAAGGAACCCATTAAGTAGCCCCAAGTACTGATTTTTTTCAAGTTCAGGAGATCGCTCTGCAACAGCTTCATTCTCCATGTCCAAGGCAGTAAAAAGATCTATTGTAACATCCCCTTGTTTCTCATCATCCATCAACTCCTTCCCTATGGCAGCAAGATTTATTTTGCCTATTTTGTTAGCCTGCAAGAACAATCTACCATGTGAGAAAGATATCACATATAGCTTGCAAACTCAAAAGGACGCTTTTCAACAAGGGAAGACAACCAAACTGTTTAAGTAAACTTTCATAGTTCTGCAGTATTCAGGATAAGTAGAAAAGAAGAAAGCTACAAGAAAAAAAAAAAATTCCCCTTTCTTTTGGGATTGGTAAGAAAGTGGTACAACAACTATTTTAACAAGCATTGTTCGAAAATTCAAGGCCCAAATGGGATATGCAGCCATTGGCCTAGGCACCCAATGCCCAATCCACGAACTAGCCCGCACCTAGGCGGCGCCTCAATAACTGTTGGCCGAGGGCAGAAAAGAGCCATTAGCCTAGGGAAAAAAAGAGCATGCCTTAAAGGGGGCAAATGGGTTTTAAAGGCCCCTCAAAACATTATTAACCATTCTTGAGTGAGTAATAAACTAATAACTCAACTAAAATTGATATTTTGAATTTTTTTTGAAGATCGAAAAAAAAATTGAACTTTTCAATTTCTTGTGAAATCGAAAATCAATTAGTCCGACATTTTTTGTGGTTTGAAGCGGTTGCAAAAGAGACCTTTTGGCAGCCGACAGTAACTGATTCTAGCTAAAGATTGACTGGGTATTGAGAGGTTAGTATATTTAAATTTTTCGTTCAGGGTATAGTATTTATGTGACTATTTGGTTTTGGTTTTTTTCCTTACTTGGTTTTTGTTCTTTTTTTTTCAAGTTTGGCTTGGAAATTGGGATATTTGGCAAATATTTCTAAAGTGCGTTTCGGTTTTAATTTATTGCCATCTTATAACAACTGGGTAACCAATCTTACTAAAAATGTCATTAAACTCAAACCAAATGGATTTTCCTCCATTTTATTGGTCCTTAAATTGTCCTAAAGATTGAAAATGGACAATAATGTGTTTTTTTAGTACTTTATTACTCCTTTTAAGTTTCTAGATGACTACTCCTTAATATTTGGTGTTGCATTAATGACTATTTAAATAGTTAAGTATTTGGTTTATCATTTCTTGACTTTTTTTATAGTTTTGATTTTGTAAATTCGGAAATATTACTCTAAGTCGGGTAACTTTACTTTTTCAACATTTACATTAGTGTTGTGCCCTAGACTAACTTATTTAATGTTGTAAGTCACTAAATAATAAATAAGTAAATAGTAAATTCTTAAATCTTAAGTTTTTCATTAACACTTAGGAGTAAATTAAAACGACTCCAAATAGTTGGAATAAGGGTTGAATGATGACGAAGGCTTAGGATTAAATTAATAAGTATTTCTTCTTGCCTTCTTGATATTCAGCAATGGGCTTGATTTGTGATTTTATTCAGTCAATTAACATAAACATTTTTACAATGTGAGTTACTTTACCAGATATTTGATTTTGGTTACAATGGTTTTTATAATTTAGTTACATTATTCAACATGAGTTTGATTTCTAATGACCCAAGATATAAATAATACGTATTCAAGTTGGTTTTGTACATTGTTCAGGATTTTGGCGGTTGGTTGTTGAACTTAGAAGGTGACAATGCCTTCTTCAAGTTCTAATAAACATGATATGGATCATCCCCCAATTCAAATGACAAGGATAAGATTGAATATAATTTTTATAAGAAAAGCTATTAAAGGGGCATCATGCACTCAAATCCCTACAAAAGTTAGGAGAAAATGCTGGAGCATTTGCAAGGTTGCCAAAGAAAGAAGGAAGAATCACCTGCCCGGGGGAGGGGGGGGAATGGAAGACACCACCAGGTCAGTTAAGACTTGGGGAGAGAGAAAAGGAAGAAATACATCCCCGGAAAGGGGACTAGCAATAAGCCAGTAGAAATTGGACTGAGAAGGCTCGAGCAAAGGGGTCATAGCTTCTTACCACCCCTCCTCTCCCCTTCCCCAAAATTTTCATTTGAGGAAGAAAGATCAGTACGTACTAAAATAGATTCTCATGGCAGCATCTCATTCAATGCCGCTACCTTAAAGACCTTCCAAGCCATAATGTAAGCAGTGCGATAGTTTAGGAGATGAGGAAACGACACATGTTTGCATTGCAAAATTGGCCATGATGAGGAAGTATACAGATAGGAGGGACTCGGTGAAATCTGAGTGGCTAGATTTGTCACCTCCTATATGTTAAAATCTATTTTGGCCCATAAAGACAAGCTCATGGTCATGTTTGTATCATGTAAGAGTCAGTTCAAAGTAAGTGGGCCGAAACTACAAGTGGGAAGAGAACCAGGTTTTAGCATGGGGTTCACAATGCCCTCCAAGCTTTTGACCCGTTAATTTAGATTTTGCGCCTTGTGGATGGTGAGAATGGGCCACTTATGGGTCACACTTACCGGACAATTGAGGTTGCCTAGGAGGACACTAGAAGGAATTTTGTCTATAATGAAGACGAGTATTCTCCTATTTTCAAAATTGTATTGGAAAGAAATGAAACTCACAACTAGAGAACCCTCCCCCCATCAACGTAGGTTCCCAAGGAGGATACTAGAAGGAATTTTGTCTATAATGAAGAGGGGTATTCTCCTATTTTGAAAATTGTATGGAAAGAAATGAAGCTCACAACTAGACAACCCCTCCCCCCCATACCTCAAGCCTGCTAATTTCCATGATAATCCTTAGATTGATACTATGGCTTGGTACATTTATGTAACTGACACGTGCCTAGTGAGACTCAACACTAGTATAGAAGACCAAAACCAAGTATCTAGGGATCTAGGCGTGTATAGATAATCAATGGGCTCAGTTGGAATGAAACTAGAAATAAGGCAGAGAGAAAAAATCTTTCCCCGTAATTTTAAAATTGGCTTCTTCATTGTGAATTTGTGATTTGAGTACCTAGTTCTAACTTATAAGGTTTCTAAATATGACTATATAATCTATTTATTTATGTGTAATATTGTAATGCAGGTTCATGGTGGACCAATCATCGAGCAAGTGCTCATGACTTGCAGAAGATGGTTGTATGTATACTAGATTAGCATCCAGTTCATCTGGTTGAAAACGAGATTTTAGCACCTTTGAGTTGGTAATTTCTTAACTACAACTCATTTTGCATTTATTCTAGTTACCTAGTCTCCCACTAACCCTTCTCTCTTTCTTTTTTTTGAAAATGGATAACAGTATAAATTAGGATATACAATATGTAGTTACAAAAACTCATGAGTGAGGTATCAAGCATCCCATAACGTTTTTTTATTTTTTAAGTTCTAATCATGCATTCATGCATTATCCAACAGATACATACAAAAAAGGGAAATAGGCTTCAGCAGAAAATACTGAACAACTTTGTTTTTGTTTAGTATAATTCAAAGCTGAAGGACCATTATCTAGATCACAATGTAATCAATCCCATTGTTGCGAGACATATAGATGATATGTGCAAGTGGTTGGTTGAAGGTGGAGAGATCCAGTACTCCTTGGAGAGCACTTGACCTGGAGCCAAATTCGAGAGGCTTCTGGGAGCCAATTGAGCCTCATACAGGCCAACAGATCCCAATCACAAAGAAAGAGGTTGAAGAGCGTGAGGGAGCACAAGGAGGCAGCAAATTCAGGGAGGACTAGGGAAGAAGAATTATACAAGGGAGGGAATGACTCATGTAGTGTTCCATAGATACCGACAAGTGTGTCGGCATTTAGTACGTGTTGGAATATCTAGTACTCAAAGGCTAAAATGCCAGTACTTCCCAACACGTCCGTACAATCAATAGTTTGAATAACATAAATTAACTGCTTTTAAGCTTATACCTACCATATAACATCATAGCGAGGGTTAGCTCTTTCCTTGTTTAGCACTACTCAAGAGGTAATGAGACCAAACCCCAACGACCACCTTTATTTGTTATTTTCCTATTTTTAAATAAATTAGACCTATATATTAAAATAATGTTTACTCAATTCAGTAACGCCAAGGTGGCCATGTGGTAGTACAGTGTCCCCAAGCAATCATACTTGGGGCGTGGAACCCCCGCCCTTCTGTATACGCCGCCTAAGTCTCTAGGCACCCATCTAAGTGGCCGAATCCTTCTTTCTGAACACTGCTTACAAGATAATATATATAAATAAATAAATGATACCATCATTGGAAAACGTTTTTTCACATTAAGGCAAGTTACGATCTAGTTACTTTGAATTGCCAAGACACCCCACGGCCTACATGGCTTGAAGTTATGGTTCCATTACCCATGACATGGTTAAAACTGTACATCCCCAGATTTGGCTACTTTAACTCCAGCATCCACATTTCTATCATAAGTTTTCTGAATAAGTGTTTTCTCTTTTAAGGTTATGTACCTCTTCAAATTGTTTTGTTGAGAAAGTCTCGTAGAGCTCAAATGCCTCTTCATCCTTTGGCAGTAAGTGTGCACATCTGAGAGACAAACATTCTATAGTCAGAGATATAAAGTGATAAACAGAACTGGCATCGTAAAATGATATATCATACAAAACCTTCATCTGAAGCAACTTGATGTATACCCCTTTAGTTTATCAATGATCAGGCAATTCTCAAAAACGAAAGATGATTCCCTGCCCTCTCCTCCCCCACAATAAAAAAAAAGGCAAAAAAAAACCTACCCCAACTGGATATACCCACAAATCCAAAACTCAAAGATGCAACACAAAGAATAGGTGTAAACAGTGGTACAGTAGAAAGACTCAGTGGAGATCACAATCCTAGAACTAACTAAGCATACAAAGATCTCACAAAAGAAAATGCTTTAATGGCCGATAAACTTGACATCCCTAATAATTATGTCATATGAGTGATTAAAGTAAGTAATTGAATCTGAAAATGGTATGGAAGACAGACAATCGAGAGGAACTGCAGATTGGTTATTTCACAAGGAAATTCCACTACATCATGCTAGAAGAAATTATAAATCACAAACAATGAAAGAAAAGGAAAAACTGAAATAGAATGTCATCCATCAAAACATAGAGAACATTGGCTAAAGTCTAGACTGCACAACTAGGATATCTTCCTCCCTACACCTAAACAAGCACTCCCAAAACTAGCCAGAGCCACATTATGTAAATAACAGAACCTAAGGGCTCATAGAAGACTTCATTGTGATCAACCACAAGATCAAGGAATAGCAAATGCCTGGTTATCCACAATTAACATTAAGGCATCAGAAGTTTGGGCCAACAGTCATATACCCAGGCATAGGTAGGGCCACCTAAAGCCCTAGCTTGCTTTCATTCCCTATCAACGGCATGCCAAGCCTATAAATCTACTCAAACCTCCTATTCCCCAACCCCATTACTCAATGACCCCATGTGCAGACATACTACCATCGTCCTCATCGTCGTCGACAAAGCCTTTTCCCAACTAATTGAGATCGGCTACACAAATCCCGGTCTGCCATTTGGCTCTATCTGAGTCATACCCTCAGTGAGGCAATAAGTCCCTACATCCTTTCTCACTACTTCCAACCATGTCCTTTTGGACTTACCCCTTGCCCTTTTTGAGCCTTCCACTTGAACAAACTCGCACCTCCTAAGGGTGTTGTACTGGGTTTACACTATACATGACCAGCCCACCAAAGTCTACTTTCTCTCATATTATCAACCTATATGTGCCACACCTAAATTTTTCCGCATGTATTCATTTTGAATTTTATCCTTTCTTGTCTTGCCACACATCTATCTCAACATCCCCATCTCCGCTACACATTCTATGGGAATATTGTTTTTTGACTGCCCAACATTCCGCCTCATAGAGCAAAGCTAGTCTCACAGCTGTCCTATAGAACTTGCCCTTCAACTTCATTGATGTGTAGAGATCACATAAAATTCCATTTGCACATCTCCACTTAACCCACCCAGCACTAATTTTATGTGCAACATCTTCCTCAATCTCTTCAATTTCTTGGATAATCGACCCAAGATATCGAAAGTGCGCACTTTGTGGTATTTCCTGGCCATCAATCTTAACTACTTCATGCAAACATACTACCATGGACCCTAAATATCTTTCCCAAACCCCAATGACCAAATGCCATATCCGTGAAGGAGCCTTATTGAGTTTCGCACCTTCCTCAAACTTGGTTTCTTTGCAAGTATCATTAATTCATGAGTTCAAGAATTTAAGTCATTTGTTATGGTTTCCCCATTATTAGGAATTTAGGATTGGGATTAAGTAGAGTTTCTAGGCACCCACCCTTCTCTATTGAATAAAGAAAGTACAAATTTTACATTAAGTAATGATAAATTTTAAAAAATTGAATGTTTCAAATAATGCTTAAAAAAAATTAAGCATGGAATAATATTATTGAAATCATTTTATAACCCTTATATTAATTTCTGTAACAATAAAACCATACAATAGTTTCTTTGTTGTATCATTCTTAAGTAACTATCATTCTACAACTCTAGATGTTTGAATTTGAATCTCATTTCCATGATATCAAAACTTTGATCCCATAATGAAGGAATCACGGTTCAGTGCATCTATGAACCATGGGATTTGATATTGTGGAATCTAGATCCAAGTAACTTAGGTTTGAGATTCCTAAATAGCAGAGAGCAAGAATACTAAGTTAAATGGAAATTCGATAAAGATCCCTTGTCAGGAGCAACAGAATGAGATTCTGGAGTGGAATTACCACCTAGAGTGGATGATTCCGGGAAACATGGGTACGCACAAAAAACCACACTATTATCTCCAAATCTATGCAAAACAACCTTCTCTAAGTTTTGGCCCAACTCACTTCCCACACCCCAATATAAGATTTTGATATCCTAACACACTGTTCCAGACTCAGACCACATGTACCCTCAATAACCCCATGCCAATGATTCTCTGTCACCTTAACAACCACACCCCAACACACACATGTGCACATGCATGCACAAGCACACACATGCACGTATGTGCAGGCTCACACACACCCCTAAACACACACACACACATACACATAAAGGGGAACCCAGCCAACACGCACACATCCAAAACAAGTGGACCTGAGCCCCGCATTAATCTTTCTCCTCTTGTAATACTGTACAGCATTCAAAACTCAAGTTACTCATAATACAATTGAATATAAATGTGCCACTATTTCCTACTACAAGTACACAATCACAAAAAATTTATCCTCAACTTATCATGACCAATAATTATACAATAGACAAGTACCTTGCTAGCATTGATCTAAGGCCATATGAATTACACTAGCACAACTCATTTAGAGGTTATCAGGATGATGAATGAATTACAATGAAGTTTTTGTCCATCAGCTATACACAAGTCAGTGAAATTAACTGCATGATGAATAAACTCCAAAGTAGTTTATAACCTATAATTAATCAAATTTGTTGGAGCGAATAAAGAAGAAGGTTCATGACCCATTGCATAAATTCCTCCAAAATATAAAACATCATACCAAGAGTGGGAAGAGTGGGCAGGGGTTGGAGGGGGACAAGGGGGAGAAGCAAAAGAAGACAACAAGCACCATCAAAAGCCCAAACATCCTATAGCAATTCACATCTAAATCATTACTCAACACTCAACATTTACTTCACAGGATAATAACACGTTATAACCCAAGAGAAGTGTTTTCACCTGTTACTGGAAATACTAGCTGGCAGAGAAACCATAGGGAATGAATAGCCATGTACACAAATCCTTGAGTGCGTGCAAAATACAAGATGAATCTTGGTAAATTAAAATGCCAGAAAGAAGATCAACATTCAAAAACAAATGGAACTCGCCTTGTATGCCTCAACAGCACAGCAATATGGATGGTACATGTTATGACCAAAAACAGTCAAGAGAGCAGCTGCTTCCAGGTGCATCACATAAACTGAATACTCCATCGTCATACTCCATTGTCACAGAAGCTCATGCATACTTTCATTCACATGCCTTACTCAACAATGACCAAGGTTTCCTGCTGCATTGACATATTCTTCAAGCAGTGCAATAACTGTAAGATGCAATGAGAGTTCCCAAGGAAAGACAACCCTTACATTGTTATCAAAGTTGCAATTATCACCAGTCACTTGAAGGAATAAACATTTGCATGCTCCAAACATGACACCAACACATATACTCCCAAAAGGAATGCCTAGGATCTTCTGTAATTCATGTTCTACCTTCACATGCCTTTCTCAACAATAACCAAGGTTTCATGCTGCACTGACATTTTTTAAGCAGCAAGATGCAGTAGTGTTTGTGATGAAATTCCATCCCTATAATATACCAAAGTTGCAGTTTTCAACAGTCTTGAGGCAATAATCATTTATATGCTCCAAACATAAGACCAAAACAAACACCCTCCTTATGGATTCCATGTAATTTCTGTCAATTCATAATTTAACATAGTGATAACATTAAATTCCATCTCCAGCAGCAATAACCTATCAAGAGATACAGTACAATATCAATGCACTTCATTGAGGCAACCTTACTCACATCCAGCCACTCAAATCGATAGCAAACAGAACCCATTCCTCAATGCATTAAGCTTCTGTGTGGACATTGCATCTCATAAAGTATCATTGGACTTAGTTTAGCAAACTCTTCACTCCTTATTCAATAGATAGCAAAGCATGGCTGCAGTAATATATTCCCTTCTTAATCACAAATGCCGCTAAAATCACTTCTATGGAAAATAATAAGCATTTGGACCGCCATATTGTGACTTCAGATTACTTTGCAATTGAATATCAAATTGAGAATTAAACAATGCAGTTCGCCAATTGAGTGGGATGCACCACCAAGAATGTTGTAATATCCAGAAGGCACACTTCAAAGTTTTATATCCATCCATCAGGGGTACCATGTGCCGGATCCAACCTGCCCAGCACCAAGATCCCTTCAATGACACATGTAACTTCCATTGGTACTTGTAAATGGTTCAGTGAAAAATCCAGGGTTAAAGTTCCTTTAAAAAGTGGACCCAACTACAACTTATTAGAGAACAGGAATTCTGCAAGTGCGGAATCTACAGTAACCAATATCATCTTTTGATCCACATTTGCCACATGCGAGGATTAGCACTTGGCAAGAACCAAGAGAATAACAGATTAGAATAACACATTCAGAAATCCTGAAATTTTGCACAGAGCATCATCATCAATTTGCACAGAGCACCATACTCATCAGGCGAAACATACGAAAATTGATTTTTCTATTTGAATGACAATCAATAAACTGTGTGCCAACTTTCAACATAAAATATGTTTTAGGCAAACAAAGGGGAACTCTTAGAAACATGAGAAACAAGGACATGAGATGCCATTCCAAAAGCATACTAGCAGGAAGATCAGCCGAAAGCTAAAACATAACCAAGACTAAAACAAATAAAAATCAGTCAACTGAAAAGCAGCTTTCAGGAAACTCACATGCTATCAAGATCTATAAACTCTGATTTAACAAGCACCGCCGCAAGTCTGTATAGCCCATGGGGCACAGGATCATTAACTTCCATACGCTGGTAGTACTGGAACTTGAATCCCAGGATTTGAGAAGCATGTGACTAACAGAAAAGGAAAAACTAGCACTCGTTACTATCCAAGTTCATAGCAACTCAAAGAGACCCTGTTAAAAGTGCCATATCTTAAAGAAGACTTAATAATGATCAGATTAATCTCCATTACCTTTGGAAATATGGGTATAAGGTCAAAGAAGATAGTGTTGTCAGGTTGCAGCTCAAAGCACTCCAAGACCTGCTATCACGAAAGCAGCAGCACCTCAGACGAGACAAGTCGACCCCAGGTCATAACATTGTCAAACAGCTGATAGAAAATACAAGCGAAACATAAGATCCATCGACTTTCAGATACAGTCGATAATTCTTTTTAGTCATCCTCAATGAAGATTTTGCACTTATTTCCTTGACATCACTCAAGAGAAAAGGTGGAGACCATTGACTTCCAAATAAAGAAAACTACAGCTAATGCTAAATGGAAAGTTAACCAAACAATAATATAAAAACAAAAATCCAAAGGTATGGGGAGACTTACAACATCAAAAACACGATTTGGATCCAGATCAAAATGCCCAATTAAAGACTGGTAATAAAATAAAATAAAGTCAATGTTGAGAAGGGTATGAAATAAACTCCATCCACTTAAAAAAACAAAGTGTGAAGAAAACCTTTAAAGAGCTGATAACTGCATCTGATGTTTTCCGTGTAGAAGTCTCTGGACCAACTTGACAGAGCAGAGTTACCTACAAAATCCAAAGCTCCAGAAGGTAAGGAGAGCCACACTTAACAACCAATAAAAGTTTAAACCCATCACTGGATAATGAAAAGAATCTGAAAATTATTCAAGACCATGAAAGCATAAAGATTACTGTGCATCTAACCATGGGATCTTACACAAGCTCCAATAGAAGAAACAATTAAGAACAAAAGACTCATTATCAATGCTTTATGGTATAATCGTAGCATCTGACCAATTTATTAACAAACATAAGTTTCACCTGAAGTAAATTCTTACACTCACATGCTTCTGCAACTGCAAATAGGCCAAAGAATCCCAGTAATGCGCATTATGAATAATTGAACAAGTCATCAATAAGACATGATAATATATACGATTTACTCAAATAACGAAAGCATAAGCAAGTATCAAAGGAAAAGGATGTATTAAAGACAAGGTTCAAAAATAGAGATGGGGAAAATAGTACACAAAATCAGAGCTGATAAATGTATACACAAGACAAAACCATAACAGCAAGACATGGAAACAACTTCATACAATAGACATACACAAACGCGCACACACACACACTAACCCCCACCCCCTCCCAAAAAAATAAGAAAAAAAAATCGACCTCCTTTCTCCAATTAGTGATCCACATCCCTTTGGCATAGTCAAAAAGAAACAGCCCACCACTTCCCTCATGTAACGTACTTGAAGAATTATGAGAAAAGAGATTGATAATACATTTCTTTGTTGTCAAAATATGAAATTATGAAGAATTGGTAATATTTATCCTCTTATAGAGAGCGATAAATCCATCTATCAATGACTCCCCACACACATAGGCACCATCCCACCTTCCATAGTTCCTCCACCTCTACATCCCTATCTGCTAAACATTCTACTTTTTACCCCTTCGCATATTTAAAAGACAAATATCCTTTCACCAAGGCGTCTTCTGCCTTTACACCAACCAAAATCCATCTCTCTAGCTCTCTTCCCACTACCTCTCCAGACATACCATCCCTTACCAGATAGGCAATCTGGCAAAAGTAAAATAAAAATAAACAAACAAGTAACTACGTAACATATAGCGCAGGAGTTTCATTCAATAAACCTGAATTAGCTTCATGGCTAGTAGTTGTGATGCTTTGCACAAGGTTCATGGATCGATTTCCCGCATTTCATGCATTTATTTTCGGACTCCTCAAAAAAAGGACAGGGCCACATAAACATCAACAGGCTATAAAAAAATAGCTAAAACATGTTGTGTTTGAGGAAGTTTGAACCTATGCCGTGGAGCCAAGTAACTATAAAAGATAGCCACTAAGCCATTTCAACATTTGAATTGGATATATTATATTATATGTACCGTCCGACACCGTCTCCAACGATTCCCGATCCGGATCGAAGATTTCCTACTCGGATCGATGACTTTCAAACACCAGTCAGAACTAAACAATGTTGTAAGAATCAAATCGGACAAGCAGTTCAAACCAGGAACCGATCAACTGGTACTTGCCCGATCCAGTCAAGTCCTTGGACCAACCGGTCCATCAAAAACTGGTCATGAACAGCTAGACTGGCCGGCCATAAAAAAGTAGAGTTTTTCACTTTTTTTCCATTTTTTTTAAATAAAAGAAGTTCTAAGGAGAGGTTTTATGGCGTTTTCAGTGTTTGTATAGGTGTAAAAGAAGGAAACAAGGATTCATTTGGGGTATAAAAAGCCTTTTGGAGAGAGAGGGATTCATTCGGTGTATAAAAAATCCTTTTGGAGAGAGAGAGGAGTTGTCTCTCTCTCTCTCTCT